CTCAGTAAAAACGGCTCTTATTAGTCAAGTGATTACACAAATGTACCAATTACTGAATAATAAATAATCCTCGGGCATTGTACAATAAAGAGCCAAACATCGTTTACACGTACATAACTTAAATGGGGTAACGTATTTTCTAGATTAACTCCACTTTACGGAGTGTGTCTATAGCAGATACGCAGGTTACGAAACAAACAAACTAAAATTTTAAATACTTGCAGCAGTATATACACATAATCAACATCTGCGTAACTTAAGATTTTAAGTTTAAAACGCACTCTCATGAGAACTTATTTGAAATATCGTTTTTGCCACCAAAGTATTGTATTGTATTCTGTATTTATGACAAAGCTAGTAACGCTATCTGCCCCCAGTACCCAATTGTGAATTACTGGTGAGAGAGAAGACGGCCAGTCAGCAGCACCCTACCACACTAAGGGATTGACTGTTACTCTTATAACGCATCTACTGCAGTTGTAGGGATTATTTTGTGGTATCACATGGATTCGAAAAAGAATTATTTCTATATTGAAGCATGTTGTTTCTCCCTGGAGTCGGTCCGTGGAGAAAATCGAACTTTTCAGTATGTGCACATCTGTTGTAAAATTTGCGTTAGCGAGTTCGTAATTTTGATGCTCGCCAAAACAGCATTCGTTATTTGTTGTTATATTGAAGTGCAAAACCTGAAAACTTACATACCGCTGTGCCACTGGGAGGCAGTATCCACGCATAGAATGATAGAATAAAACTGAGCCATCCTATAAATGATATGGCATTTTGGTAGCAGAATTATTCTGAAATAATTTTAAGTTTCTTTTTCTGTCTGAATAATGTAAGAATCAAGTGAAGAAAATATTTATTCTGGATATATTTTAAACAAGTTTTTGTTACGAGTCTGAGACGAAATGCATAACATATCGTAAATTATCTGCCTAACAATCTATCAAAGAATATCGTAAATTGTTTCTCCAATACAAACTACAAGTTATGAGGTGGCTTTCGATTCGCTAAACACTATTAAATGATATCCTTATGAAAAAATTCAACTTTCGAAATGAATGTACTGTTTTAGAAATTTTGTTTTGTTTTTCAAATTGAATCTATTTTTTCAGTAATTCAGTTCCCTATATGGATTTATTGTCTTATAAGATTTAGTTCTTTGAACGAATCGAGTGCATTATGAATCTATTTTTTCAGTAATTCAGTTCCCTATATGGATTTATTGTCTTATAAGATTTAGTTCTTTGAACGAATCGAGTGCATTGTGAATCTATTTTTTCAGTAATTCAGTTCCCTATATGGATTTATTGTCTTATAAGATTTAGTTCTTTGAACGAATCGAGGGCATTATTTTACATAGCTATTGCCGTTATTATTTTGTTTACGATACTTGTATTTAACGTGACAGAAATATTAATATTCCTTCACACATTAAGATTAAACTGATTAAAACAAGACACTTGGACCAAAGGCTAGTATTGAGCATAATTTTTAAGGGGTGGTTATGTAAAAGCGCCTGTATGAATGTATAATTTATTCAAATTAAGTATATTACGTATGACATTAACAAAATATCTAATATTGTATATGTTTACTAAATTAAATCCTGTACATGTGATTTTTAATTTTGATATATTCAAACGTTTGAATTTTATATGGTATTTTGTGCCGAGGTGTCAATTTAATGATCAGTTCAACTGTCAGTCTCATATCTGTCTCCATGTTTTTAGGCCTAATATCTTTTTGTTGGTAAAAACGTCCTATTAACTGGCCGTAGTAATATTGGAACGACTAAAAGAGTAACTAGTCCATTTTACATAAAAAATAAATAAAATTTGAATTATTTAGACCCTCTTACTTTACTGCAGCAAACTTAGCAACATCAAAACAAACGTAGTGTTCCAGATTAGTGTTTACTAGACAATCACTTAGCATCTTAGTTTTTCAGCGAGTTATATACACAAACACTTTTACAAATAGTTCCATACGGAAAATATAACGTTATTGAACAAGAAAACTAAAGGAAACCCTCTGCTTGTTTATAACGTGGGTATTATATGTTTTTCTTGGCAGTTTTGACCGTTTTCTGAAGTGGTTATGTATGGTGATGTCTTACACAATTTACTTTAACTGCGCCTAGGGATCCTGGTTGTTGATTTGACAACAGTTGCAAGACATTAAAATGTTTTAATTAGGCAACAAACTATTCCAACCATACGGGATGAGATGATTGATTCTTAAAGAATACTCCATTAAATCATTTGCTTGATGTGTGTTTTTTATTAAGATTACTTTAACCTGGTTTAAGATATCTATATAAAAAAAGAAGGTGATTATGAAGCGAGGAATGTTTTATAGTTAACGCAGTGTTTGGTTTTTGGCTTGTGTACATGGAAATTTGGCAGCTGTCGTACTGAATAAGGCCAAACTTGGAACTTGTCATCGAAAAAGCACGCACAGAAATCGAGTTTCCATAGTAGTTGAGATAGTTTTCTGGTATCCAGGTCACGCATGGATATCATTACAAAATCAAGATCTTGTGTTTGCTTGTTACTCGTTTAATTGCTTTATGCTATTTATAACATCTGGAATGTGGAAAACTGGCCTGTTAGAATAAATTTAAGGATATATATTCCATCATGAGCGGGATTTTCATAAACTCCAATGCAGTGTACATTAAAAGATATACAAAAATGATAATTGAAGACAAATTTCTTGAAATCATTGATCAAATACTTAATTCATGATTAAAAATCGCAATACTTAATTTAGCAGCTTTTTAACATTCGTAATATTTCTTAAAGATAGCCAATGGAATTGTTTTAACCTTTCAATCTCGTACCCTGAAAATTTTAGAGGAAGTTTAATCTTCTTAGCAATTAATTTTCAATACAAATTCTCTAGGAGTTGTGTAATTTATCTTATGTACAGACTCTAATTTAGCAGTGATAGACTAGAGGGACGACAGCTGTCAACAGCACCCACTGCCAAGTCTTGGGCTACTCTGTTACTAACGAATATTGGGACTAACCGTTATATTTTAACGCCTTTACGACTGAAAGGGTGAATATATTCGGTGATGGAATTTGAACCCGCATATCGCGAATCAAGTGCCCTAACCAATCAGGCTATGCTAAGCCAGCTTGGAAGCCATTCTCCTAATAAAGTGGGTTGGAATTATACCATATAACTAATAAATTCCTTATGATATGTTATAGAAAGCTAAGAAAGTACTCCTCACTAATTTATGAACTTCTATATTAGATACAAAATTTTACTAATTCCTTTTGAATTGGGTTGGGGGGCTTTTCATTCCTAAGGTTCACGGCCCGGCATGGCCAGGTCGTTAGGGGGCTTGACTCGCAATCTGAGGGTTGCAGAATCAAATCCCCGTCCCACCAAACATGCTCGCTCTTTCAGCCGTGGGGACGTTATCATGTTACAGTCAATCCCACTATTCGTTGGTAAAAGAGTATCCCAAAAGCTGGCGGTGGGTGGTGATGACTAGCTACTTTCCCTCTAGTCTTTCACTGCTAAATTAGGGACGGCTAGCGCAGATAGCCCTCGTGTAGCTTTGCACGCAATTCAAACCAAACCTAATATATGTCCAAATAACTTGTGAGTTTGGCGTCTCCTCCTTCCCCGAACGAGTTTCTAATGTCTTGGGTAAACACCAACGTGTTATTTATTATTATATCACAACTATTTTTTCTTCGCAATAAATAGCTACACCTGAAATTTTAGATGTGGGTGACTTGGCCGTTTAGCGCAGTGGTTCTTAAAATGTGGTTCGCGGTCTACTGGTTGTTCGTAGTGGTTCGCGGGCTGGTCCAAAATGCAAATTACTGAAGAACAATGTAACATCCGAAGCCATACGAGGCAACAGGTAGGGAGGTAGGTGGTTCGCGGTTTTTTTTTGCCGAAGTTGTAAGAGGGCCCGGCATGGCCAGGTGGTTAGGACGCTCGACTCGCAATCTGCGGGTCGCGGGTTCGCATCCCCATCCCACCAAACATGCTCGCTCTTTCAGCCGTGGGGGCGTTATAATGTGACGGTCAATCCCACTATTCGTTGGTAAAAGAGTAGCCCAAGAGTTGGCGGTGGGTGGTGATGACTAGCTGCCTTCCCTCTAGTCTTACACTGCTAAATTAGGGACGACTAGCGCAGATAGCCCTCGTGTAGCTTTGCGCGAAATTCAAAACAAACAAGTTGTAAGAGGACGGAAATATTTGAGAACCATTGGTTTAGCCTACGTATCGCATAAAGTGCTGCTATACCAAGTTGAAATACCAACAAAACAAATATATCAATAACTAGTTGAGTTCTTGAGTGTTGTGCCACTTCCCTTGTAATTAGATGCTTAAAACACGTTTCACTTGCATGGTTATTAATATATCCGACGTGCGTTTTTAAATTTCAGGAGAAATTAATGCTTGTTTGTTTGAAGTTAATGGCCTATCTGTGCTTTTCCCACCACGGGTATCGAAACCCGGTTTCTAGCGTTGTAAATTCGCAGACATACCACTGTGCTACTTTTTGTTTTTCGTATATTGCAGCAGTTCTTGTCTTCTAATTTTTAAATGTCAATAAAAGTAACAACGCATTTGAAAAAATATATATCCTACTATTTTGAATAGGAATGCATTTGATATAATGAAGCTACATTTTTTTCACACAAATTGGCATATTTCATACGTGTAATGTTAAAATAAAGTGCTAAGCTTAACTTTAAAAATAGGTTAAGTGTATGGGTTAACCGAGTAAGAAATAAAAATATATTTAAATCAACACAGTTTCAAATGTAAATACACACACACACACATATCTATATAGAAAATTTGAATTTAAATATATTTGATTCTGCATATACCGATTAATTACTGTTTCACTGATTTTAACTTTTTTTTAGTGTTATTTTTTGCCGTTCCCCAAAAGTCGATGTTATTACAAGTAACGTATTCTTATTTATAACACATTTTATTTTGTATATTTCAACTAGGTGGATGACAAGCTGTGGCATAAGGTACAATTCAGTGTGTTCAGAGATCAAGTTACTTTATATGTTGACTGTAAAAAAATGTCAACATTACCTATCAATCAGCCTGGACCAATTGACGTGAATGGGGAAATTATCGTTGCACAGTTCGACGCCAAGAAGGAAAAAACTGTACCGGTAAGTATGCTCTAGAAAACTAACGTTGATACTAATATCTATACCTCAAAACACAGGTTGTCGTCGTAGAACTGAAACTGTATCGTTGTCCTAAAAAAATAATTTTGTTACAAATATTGTTCAAATAAGCATGAGTTAGGTCGAGATACCTTCTTTCAATGATTCACTGCCTGGATTCATACATTTCTAGTTCTCTAACTTTCCTTGTAAAGATTCATTGTAACACATTAACACATTTCTTGAAACCAGAAATGGAATTATGATGATTGTCATTTCATCATGTACAGTGATGATGATTCGTTTTTTACGCACGGACATGTAATTTCTGTCTAAATTGTATTATCGTCATTAATTCTCATTATTATTTATTTTATATTATTATTAATTGTATTATTTATCATTATTATTTATTTATATTATTATTAAATGTATTGTCGTTATTAATTATGTTTGCTGTATTAGTTATATTATTATTATTATTAATTGTATTATCATTAATAATTACGTCGTTACAAGCGTGGAGTTGCCGATCTATTTAACGATAGAGATAAAATCAAGTAACCAAGTTTCAAATCGGTATACTGTAAGTTCAAAACAAAAGGAAACTGACAGTTAGAACAAAATACCATAACTGTGTTTATTAAAACGCTAGCAACTTAAAGTTTTATTTTAACTTTACTTTTTCAAACTGTGTACTTATGAAGTATGTAGGTATTAACGTGTCTGTTGATATAGTTTTTGACATTACACCGCTACTAATGACTCTCCCGCTTTTGCGATTAAAATTTTCCATTTAATTATAAAGTGAGAATATATTAATTCTCAGCTTAAAACTTCTATTAAAGAAGCTCATTTATCCATCAAAAGTCCTCTTATTAAATCGGTTAACCCTAGAATTACCTAAGCGTCTAGGACCCTCACGGTTTCTTATATTCACACATTTTTCTAAACTATTTATGCACTACACTGATTGGAGCTTTTTTGACTTTGTTGTTTATAAGATCCTTAATAATATAACAGCAACAACAAGAACCAAAAAATATCATCAATATTGAAATTAATCCCACTAATTGTTGCTGGGGTCCTCTATGAATCTTACGTAGAAAATATTTGGTTTCACCTTATTTGTTTGAATTAGTGACACTGAGTGTTGTAAGGCAACATTAAAACAACTCAAAACGATGTAATACACAGACCACAGTGGTAGTGAACTGTATAAAAGCAAGCTGGCGAGTTTAGGGTTGATTAGAAATCCACGCTTGTAATAACTGAGTCTGATACCTTAGTTATAACATCTGTCCATAGAGTGAGTTCGAATCCTACTTCGTTTCAGTTTTTACTTCTCTAAGTAGGTTCATAATAAAGTTTATTCATTCTTTTACATCAAACACTCTTTTATTTCTTTATCTTTATCATAAAATAGTAAATATAGAGTATTTTAAAGCAACAATCGCTCACAGTTAGTATATTTGTTTAATGTTATTTTAGATAGACCTACAGTGGATGGTTATCAGCTGCGACCCCTCGCGGCCAGAGAGAGAAAAATGTGATGAACTTATTGTAAGAACAGTTTTTATGGTTCCTTATTTTCCTTTAATTTTTTCGAAACTTTTTTCTATTTGTAATTCTGAACCGAATGACACGCGAATATCAAACAAATTAAGAAATAATATGGCGATATATGTATCAATATACTGATTTTCATCAAAGCGTCCAACTCACTTTTTCAGGATTTTATGCAAAAGCGTGTAATTGTATGCAGCTACTTTTGAATTACAGATTTGTTGTTGTTTTTTTATAGAGATTTCAGTGGTTAGTTTACAAAAATAAAACAATATTATTTTCAAACTTATAATAATCCTATTTATTTTGATAGGAAAACAACGAATAGTTCTGAAACACATTTAAAAGGAGGAACAGGTAAAAACGTGATTGTGTTAACGACATGTAACAAAATATCAGCAAAAACAAACTGTACAAAAATTAATGAATTCGTTAGCAGTTTTACTTTTTGTTGTTAGGTTCCTAAAGAACAGATAAAACCTGAACCAACGGATGTTGAGGCTTGCATAACGTGTCCACCCGGACCTCCAGGGTCAAATGGCACGCAAGTGAGTATGTGTAGTCATTAAAGATGAAATGTGAAACCCATAGAGCTGTTGATAAATAGTAAATCACTGTACACATAAACCCCAACATTGACAGACTATCTTAAAGTGAAAGCTAAACCAGTTTACCTATCATTTGCTCTCAACCACATGCATGGGATTTTCTTAAGTTAATCTGTGTTAAAATTATAATTAAATACATATACATTGCTTCATATATAGTGCTTAATGAATGTTTCGTTGTCTTTTTGACGTCACATCACTAGTAGCGCTACCTATCTACTATTGCATTCACAGTGCTTTCTGCCAACTGCCTTTAGTTGAGATTAATATAATACCGCAAGAGCAAATTACAATAGATTTATATTGCTTATGTCTGTTTTTAAAACTTGCCCATTCAAACGTTAATAAAATAAATCATATCAAAGCAAGTATAAGAGTATGCCTCTTATTTTCTAAAATAAGTTATAATTTCAATATTTTGTGATAAATATTACAGAATGGAAATGTTTCTACATAGTATATTAGTTTTCTTTTTGATTTTGTTTTCAACGTATGTTATATACTTAATACAAACAACAGTAATTCCTTTTCGCACAAAATTAGAGCCTCCTGAATAAGAAGATCCTGATCAATCAACATTCCAACTTTAGGTTCAGTGATTAAACACACAGGCAGGAGTGGTTTTATTTCATTAAAGACACTCGTATATTTCATCAGTCTACTGGTGTTTTACCTTACCACCTGATGATTTAGATTGCCTTAAAAAAGAGTTTAACATACAGAGTGTTACCACATCATTACCCAGTAGTAGCTATGGTGTGACCAGGAAAGTTACAGTAGAAGACGCCATATAGGATTTAGATTTAAGAAAAAAAAATTAAGCAACACAGTCTTCAGTCTCAAGTTGAATATTGAAGAAGTTACATACATGTTCCTACGTTCGTATGGCTCAGCTTTCGGTATCTCAGAAAATAATTAGTGAAAATTTGTATTTTCCAAATATTGGTGATCGAAATGTAAAACTACAGTTACGTTTCTTTAAAGCAATTAACATCGTTTCATACGTTCGTTTACGTAATCTGGCTTATAATAGAGCAGTTGTTTTCTTGCAATTCATCATATAAATAGCGCCTAAACCGCTACTATGTCTGTCGTATCCCAACCAGTTTAATGAACCCTAAACATTGCAGATATAGTCTGGTTGACACGTTATTACATGTTCTTTTTTGGTTTTCACTTATAAGTTTATAGAATGATAAGTAGAAGTAAACTGTAATATTTTATAAGGACCACCTATAATTGTAATATAATGTATTTATGATCTATGTCTACGTAAATTAAGAATGACTTTACGAAAGTCCTGTTCTGAATGAAACTAAAAAAAAAAGAAAAAGAAACAAATTAATGGATATTAATAGGCAATTCACTCCTTATAAAGAAAGGTCCACATTTTTCGAAAGCGCTTGGTTTATAAACTTTGATATTTTTGTCTTTAATTGAACCTACGTGTTTTCCTACCATTTATCATTATGATTAGAGATTCATTAATGCCGATTGAAGATAAAAACACTTAGTTAAATTGCTTGGGTTTCATTTTTGTTTACTTACATTCTTTGAGACATATTTCAAAACTTAAAATGAAATAATCACGACTGTACAAAAATTTTCAGGGACCACCAGGACCTCCAGGTCCACCAGGTAGGCCAGGGCTACCTGGTTTGAACGCCTTGCCTGGTCTTCGAGGACCTAAGGGAGAACCAGGATTCCCAGGAATTGCAGTGAGTCACAAGCTCTTTAAAGATTGGGGAAATATTTGTTTGAATCGTCACCGTTAAAGTTTTTATTAGCATGTTTACGACTCACTAGGAAATATAATGACTGTTTAGAGTAACCATTCAAGATGGAGTTGTGCCAAAGCTATATAAAACTGTGACACCATTTGAAAGTATGCTAGGAATCATTTTGTTTGCGAAAATACACATACAAATCACATTGTTTTTAACTGTTAAACTACACTTTGAAGTATAGCACCGTAATTTTTTTTTCTATTTCAACTGTAATTTTTGGAATGTGTTTGTACAAGAATTCAGACTTATTTTAAATATTCAAGTTGGGTCATATTGGTGAAATGTGACTAAGTTAGGTCATATTGGTGAAACGTGACTAAGTTGGGTCATATTGGTGAAAAGTGACTAAGTTGGGTCATATTGGTGAAACGTGACTAAGTTGGGTCATATTGGTGAAACGTGACTAAGTTGGGTCATATTGGAGAAAAGTGACTAAGTTGGGTCATGTTGGGGAAAAGTGACTAAGTTGGGTCATATTGGTGAAAAGTGACTTAATGGAAGCAAAATAATAACCTATAAAGGGAAATCGTGAAACGACAAGCATGAATTTTATTTTATTTATTTATTTAGGGTCTACCAGGTATAACTGGACCACCTGGTCCTGTAGGACTGGAGGGAAGACAGGTGAGTTTTATGATTTTTGTTTTTTACATGCAAGTACTGCATAAACTATTCTCACAACAAAAACGTTCTACAAATTAGGATAAAGCTTTTGTGATATGATATACAGCTCAAAAACTCACATGAAAACCTACAATACTTTAGAATTCTTATACAGGTCACTTAAAGGCGGTACTGAACAATGTTGCAATAAAGTTCAACCCTTGGGTTTTATTAATAAAACAACAAATGTGTTCTGATTCTCCTATGCCAGATTCCAAACGTTCTGAAACATTGTAGTAAAACATTATCTCACAGCCACCTGAATGTTTAGTGCAACTTGATAGTAAAGTTTTCTCGTCTATTTTTTGCTTGTAATCAAGCACAAAGCTACACAATTGGTTATCTGTGCTCTGCCCACCACGGGTATCGAAACCCGGTTTCTAGCGTTGTTATTCAGCAGACATACCGCCGTGTGACTTGGGGGTATTTCTAGTCTATCAATGGACAGCTAGCAAAAATAAAAACTTTTAAAAGGTACTTATTTTGTGACATATTATGTCATATTATGTCAATAATATGTCAAAAAACGTTTAAAGGGTACTTATTTTGTGTCATATTATGTCAATAATATGTCAAAAAAACGTTTAAAGGGTACTTATTTTGTGTCATATAATGTCATATTATGTCAATAATATGTCAAAAAACGTTTAAAGGGTACTTATTTTGTGACATATGTATCAATAAACAACAGATCTTTAACCTTATTATATACATTATTAACTGTACCTTTATTCATTATTCCACTTAATTAATTCATTTATTGATGTAACTTTATTCTTATTTTGTTTTTATACAATTTCTTTATGTACAAATGTATATGTTTATACTGTTCCGTTAAAATAATTATTTATAAATTTACTAATTTCATGAATTATTCTTTAGTTATTTGTTTTGTTATGGAGCTATACCTTTATTTCTACATATTATTTAAATAGCATTTACATACCTAATATTTTAGGGGCAGTCTGGACCGAAAGGAGAGACAGGTCTTCCTGGAGACCCAGGCCAAGCTGTAAGTAAAGTTTTTGTGCCATTATAAGTTGTTTCGATGGATGTAGTGTTTAAAACACTGCGATTGTAATTTCTTTTTTTTCTTTTTCTTCGCCAAGCTGTAAGTAAAGTTTTTGTGTCATATTATGTTGTTTCCATGGATGTAGTGTTTAAAACACTGCGATCGCCAAGCTGTAAGTAATGTTTTCGAGTCATATTATGTTGTTTCGATGGATCTAGTGTTTGAAACACTGCGATCGCCAAGCTATAAGTAATGTTTTTGTGTCATTATAAGTTGTTTCGATGGATATAGTGTTTAAAACACTGCGATCGCCAAGCTGTAAGTAATGTTTTCGAGTCACATTATATTGTTTCGATGGATGTAGTGTTTGAAACAATGCGATCGCCAAGCTGTAAGTAATGTTTTTGTGCCATATTATTTTGTTTCCATAGATGTAGTGTTTAAAACACTGTGATTGTAATTTCATTTTTTTTCTTCACCAACCTAATCTATTAATTTATAAAAAACCAGAACATGAACATAGAAATAAGCTATGAAATGTTCGATAATCTGACTATAATGTAGTTCCATGAAAACAGTTTCCGTTAATACAACCAAATGTTTAAATATTTCTCCATTAAAACATTTGAGCAATCCAATATCAAGTTTCTGTAATATTTCCTCAGTAATACGTTCAAACAACCTCGTACAAACAACATTCTGAAAAATTTCCAAAGTAAGATATTTAACCAACCTAGTTAAACAATCTATTACAACCAAGCCATTGGAATATTTTCAAAGTAAAATCTTCGAGCATTTAAAATTAGTAATTTAAAAAACGAAATATGTTTATAAATCTTACTAGATGTGTTCTGATATTGAAAGCTGAGCAATTCTTAATAACATTTAAGGAAATGAAACAACTTTGTTTGTTTGAAGTTAAGCAAAAAGCTACACAATGGGCTATCTGTGCTCTGCTCACCACGGGTATCGAAACACGGTTTCTAGCGTTGTAAGTCCGCATACATACCACTGTGCCACTGGGGGGGGGGGTAATGAAACAGGAAACAGGACTTCCGCCAATATCTTTCAACTAGAGAGATAGTAATAACGTTTGCAAAGTTTCGATGTCACTTACAACCATTCTATGAACCTTGTGTATGTGTTCTAAGACTAATACACAAGTAAAAGTATTTTCCCTAGTACATATAAGTATTGAATTAGGGAAATAGTTCTTGCGAGATTCCTCACAAATAGATGGTAAAATATTATGTATTGTCATATACATCCGAAACGTCAGTGGAAATATCTAATTTCTTTCTTGTCGCAGGGAAGTAAAGGTGATAAAGGCGACAGAGGAACACCTGGACAGCCTGGTACCCCAGTAAGTGGTCACGATTATTAGTTCAACATTGTTAATACAGAAAAATAAACATTATGCAGAGGTTAACTTAGAAAACAACCCACCTTATAGCTTCTGGTATTTTGTATATCTATACCAATTAAATATCGCTTTGGAGATTGCTTAACAATTCTTTTTATCTTTTATTTTCTAACAATATTTTGTCCAACAGCTTTTGTGAAATTAAAAGGTGCACCTTTTTAACATTGTGTCAATATAATCACGTGGCATTATTTAAACGGTTATCCTTTCCATAACAACCAATTTCAAGATCTTAATTTACTTATCTGCTGTTGCTCCCTATTGCTTGTCAATATTATCAGTCCAATAATTTACTAGGCAGCGTGTTTGACCTAACAGAAAATATATTGTATTATTATTATCATTGACAAATATATTTGGTTTAGTAACTTATGTTGTATTATTATACATAGAATTATTCATCATTCTACGTTAACTTAATGCTAGTCATGTGCTACATATATTGGAAATAATCAACTGATCACTATTAGTGTCAATGTTATGAAAATCTTAATGATAATCATTTATCATTTTAATCATCAGTCCTAAGAGGAGCAACTTGCACCACATTTGTTATCATCATGAATTATGTTTTAACTGGTAAATAAACCAATCACCATATTCAGGTCTGTATTACGTAACTAGTATACAAATCATCCGCCATCTTTATTTCCGTATTACGTACCTAATAAATACACCATTCGTCATATTTTTGTGTATATTACGTCACTTATAAATAGACTATTCGCCATCTTCAGGTCTGTATAATGTAGCTAATAAATAAATCATTGTCAGCATGTTTTTTTGCGTTACGTAATTCATCATATTTAGTTACATTAGTGGGAAATAAATGTTCATAGCCTTATATTCAGCAGCGAATCTTTGTCTGAAATACAATCGACTTTATATTTTAGGTAATATGATAGCAAGAGTTTTCCTATTCTTTCTGATTTGGACTTTTTTTTAAGAACGTGTTTTTGCAAACAAGAATTCGAATTTGGCTAGTGTTCGAAATGCATTGCATTGTACTTGTAAATGAGCTTCTATTAAAACAAATCAACGTACATAGGTCAGAATTAAAAATCAACCCAATAAGATAAGTATAGCTAATTAAATATACTCTTCTTTCATTCTTATTTATAATGATCAGAATACAAAGGTTGGTCTCTTGGATGAATTGAGATGGTAAAAAAAGCATTTATTTTATGAATACAGAATATTTTTATAATAATGATTCTTATATTCTAGTCAGAAATAAAATTATTATAAACCCTACTATATTGCTTTACGCTATTATTGTTGAAAGCTGTTTTAATCATTGCTTTTCAGGGTATTCCAGGAGATCAAGGGCCTCCAGGACTCCCAGGAAGTATTGGAAATGCTACAGTGGTTAGAATTATTACTTAGTTAAGAATACCTTAATCCATAATTTAGAAATAAAAAATTAGTATATGAAACACATAGATCATCTTATACCATATCAAACATGGAACCAAACAAAACCCTGCTGTATCATATATACTTACGTCTGTACTTTTGTCTAGTATATTGGGTGCATGATATACATTACTGTTCTAACATGATAGCAGAATCCTGGCTTGAAGTTTCCAAGAGAAATTATTATACATCCTATGCTACTAAGTCAAAAGCTTGTAAAGTATTATCATGAACACTCACTTAGCTGACTAGAGCTAGCCTGAAGGGTTCCAAGACGAAAGTTGAATCCTTTTAAAAAAAAAAACATTAAACTGGAGATCACAAATTGATTGGGCTTCTTTGTTTTTTCTTCTACTATTACATTTTGTCTCTAGGATTTCCGTAATTCATCTTGGAAGCTTGTTTGTTGAATTTTGCGCAAAGCTATTTGAGGGCTATTTTCGCTAACTGTCCCTAATTTTGGAGCGATAGACGAGATGGAAGACAGTTAATCAACACCATCCACCGCAAACTGTTTGGCTAGTCTTTAGCAACGGATAGTGGAATGAACCATTACGTTATAACGCCCCAACGGCTAAAAGGATGAACTTCTCCCGCTACCTGCAGTCTAAGAGTCGAGCGCCTTAACAATCAGATCACACTAGGCTTTCACGTTATGAACTCAAATATGAATTGTAAATCAATATCGAAAGAAGACTCATTCAGAAGTCATTGAAATTGTTATTCAACCAAAGCGAAGCTACGATCTTTAAAATTACTGACATATGATAACAAGCAAACTCATTTACCTAAAGTTTAAATAACAATAAACTTTGTAAAATGTATTAATTATTGTTATTTTTCGCGGAATTAATAAAATAAATAACTGTAAACTGACATTAAACTATGTCAAAATCTAAATTCGATGACGAGGAACCCACTTTGAGACTAATAATGGCTGGAGACGGCTTGAATGGGTAATGAAGAAAAACTTTAATACAACAGCAAATGTACAACGTTTC